TCCTGGTGACCCCATGTGAGTCAGCGAAGAACTGTGCTCCATAGGGTTTTTTTTGTTTTGTTTTTTTCTTTGTCATTATTGTATGTTTATCTTGAAGTGTACATTTTCACTCATCTGCCAGTTTGTCTTACAAGTGGTGGGTGGCTTGTGTGTTGATGTGATGGAACCAGTATTTAAAATACCATCAGGGTCACTCACAGTTGACAGGTTTCTACAGAACTTCCACACTAAGACAGAATAGGAAGAAGTTCTGCTTCTGAACAGTTAGCCACTGAAACCTTTAGGAATATCATCATAACATTGTCTAATATAGTGTCAGAAGATGAGCCCTTCAGATTGGTTGGCTGAAAAAAGGACTAGGGAAGAGCGAGCTGCCTCCTCAAAGTACAATTGACCTTAATGAGTTGGATGAAGCAAAGTTTTTATATGTTGACATGGCACAACTCAAAATGAGAATAAACGTCTGCAAACATCTGTTAATAATCAATATGAAATATATGAAGTATGAATCTAGAAAAATTTTAAGTGGTCTATATGAAATGGAAAGCATAAAGATCAATATTGTAGGCATTAGTGAACTGAAATGGACAAATATTAGCCATTTTCAACCATAGTCACATGAGTTACTATTCCAGGAACAACAAACGGAAGAGGAATGACATCACATCATCAAAAAGAGTGTTTCAAGATCTATTTTAAGTCTCCAGTGCTCTCTCTGTGATAGGATAATATCCATATGCCTATGAGTTGGAAGGACTCCTGGTGTGATACTTTGGGTTAATGCTCTGGACTGCAAAATCAGTTTGACCTGCAAGGTTGGCAGTTCAAGCCCACCAGCCGCTCCTTGGAAACCCTATACAGGTTGCTATGGGTTGGTACCAACTTGAGGGCACTTGACAACAACAACAATAAGGAAGTTCAGGAGCTGGATGGCTCTGTTGGATTTGCACAGGAACTTGTGAAACACAAGGTCTGCGCTTTGAACCCACCAGCTGCTCCTACAATGATTTACAGCTTAAGAAACCCTATGCAGTGTCAGTATGAGTCAGAATCTACTCTTTGGCATTTAACAACAACATAAGGAAGACCAGATATTATCACTATTATTAAAATATTTTGCACCAACGACTAAAGTCAATGATGAATGAAGAATTCTGTCAACTTATCACTATGAAATTGATGAAATATGCGACCAAGATGAATTGATAATCACAGGTGATTGGAATGTGAAAGTTGGAAACAGAGGAAGGATCGTTAGTTGAAAAATACGGCCTTGTTGAGAGAAATGATGCTGGAGATAGTATGATATGATTTTGCAAGACCAATGATTTACTCATTGCAAATTCCTTTTCAACAACATGAATGGTGACTGTACACGTGGACCTGATCAGGTGAGCTATACAAGAATCAAATCGACTACATCTGTGAGAAGAAGCGACAAAGAAGCTCAGTATCAGGCAACAAGGCCAGGGGCAGACTGTGGAGCAAAATTACCAATTGCTCATATGCTGAAGTTGAAAAAATTAAAATAAGTCCACAAGTGTCAAAATATAACCTTGAATAATATCCCAGTCCCTGAAGAAAGACATCATTCTTGGCAGAGGGAGTGAAAAAGAGGACCATTCCCAATGATATAGATTGACACAGTGGCTGCAGCATGAGCTCAAACATAACAACAATTGTGAGGATGGCACAGGACTGGGCAGGATTTTAGTCTGTCCTGCATAAGGTTGCTATGAATCAAAATTGACTGGATGACACCTAACAACAGCAAAAACACCATAGATTTTCACTATTCAATATGATTGTATTAATTTCTTGATTTGAACTTCCCCTTTTATGTTGTTCGTATTTGATTGTGATGTTGCCAACTTCTTAGTTAAGAATGAAATCCCCAGCTAAGAAATGTTTTATGATGAGAAAAAACAAATGAACTATGATGTGGTTTCTTGTCATTGAATATCTTAATGAACTTAATTAACCATTCACCATATTCCTATCATTTACCTTTCTACTTAATTGCTACTCATTTAAAAGAAAAGTTTAATGGGAATTCAAAATACTAGAACTCATGCAGAATTTAAAATGCTTTTTTTCTTAATGGAAATGGTATAAGATACTTGATTCAGATATTAAATTTTTATGATTTGGTAGTTTTGAATCAGATACTAAGTGAATTTAGTAGCATATAACTTAACTTGATTAAGTTGTAGGTGTGCATGTTTATGTAAGGGTTTAACTTTTTTTTATTGTGTTTGTGTTTAAACTAGTTTATAAATGTTGTTTTTAAAAAAAGAGTAAGTATGGCAGAATAGATCTGACAGATATGTTCCAGAAGATGTATTTAAAAAACTAAGCTTTCATCATGAGAAATACCACTCTACTAAGGATTTTACCCAATTAAATGATATCTATATGCTCAACTGGTAGCTCATAATTTCTAGTGTAATAATAATATGGAGATCGATTTTTAGAGGCCTTTCAAATGAGATTTATCCCAGAGTTAACGATTTACAACAGCCTTGGAACCCCTATGATTAACTTGGTGTGCCTTATTTTTTACAACTTATGATTATAAGTTTGTGCATGTGTAATATATACATTGAGTCCTGGTTTGGTGCTGAAGGACCAAATGGACCACAGTGTCGGTTTGAACTGTAGGGTTGGTGGTTGAAACTCAACAGCTGCTCCTCAAAAACTCTATACAGGGTTAACTCAGTGGAACTTAGCAACAACAACAATGCATATGTAAGTTGTGTATATGTAATACATATATGAATGGGCTTCAAAAAGTTTGTGGAAAATGGAATGAAAAGATAATTAAATTTTCAATGCTTTTTTTGAAGCCCCCTGGTATTTGTATAATTTAGGTATTTTTTAATATCAGTAAAAGCAGGTATACAGATTAACTAACTTGCCCAAGGCCAGTTAATTCTGACTCATGGCAACCCCATATGTACAGAACTAGAATTGCTCCATAGAGTTTCCAAGGCTGTAACCTTTTGGAAGCAGATCACTAGTCCTGTCTTCTGAGGCATTTCTGTGTTTAAACCACCAACCTTTCAGATAGTGTTGTTGTTGTTAAGTGCCATTGAGTTGGTTCTGATTCACAGTGACTTTGTATTGGGTTTCTGAGGAGTGGCTGGTGTGTTTGAACCACTGACTTTGCTGCTCAAACCAACCAGGATTCCTTCAGATAGTTGTTGCTGGTGTTGTTGTTAAGTACCTTTGAGTCGGTTCTGACTCTTAGTGACCTTGTATAGGGTTTCCGAGGAGCAGCTTGTGGGTTTGAACTGCTGAGCTTGTGGTTTGCAGTCGAGTGCTGATCCTACAGCGCCACACCAGTATTTGTTGTACTTGTTTGCTTTACCCAAGTTGTCCAATAGAAATGTTAGCTGCACTGTTCAGTGTAATAGCAGCTAGCCACATGTGGGGTTTGAGCATTTGAAATATGGCTAGTGAAAATGAGGAACTGAATTTTAATTTAATTTAAATTAAAAATGAATATCATATGTGGCTGGTGGTATTGTATAGTTCAGTATCAGATTGAAGTTATGGTTCTAATAGCTGAGGCTTTCTTTGTAGTGTATTTGGTAACAGTTGATGGTTAATATCACTTGTTAGTTACTGTTGAATGTTGGTTCATGACTTTTATAGATCCTCTATATATTGAGGCTGGATTGTTTGTGATCCATAGAGTTATATAGATCCTCTATATATTGAGGTTGGATTGTTTGTGATCCATAGAGTTTTATAGATCCTCTATATATTGAGGTTGGATTGTTTGTGATCCATAGAGTTTTATATATCCTCTATATATTGAGGCTGGATTGTTTGTGATCCATAGACTTTTATAGATCCCCTCTATATATTGAGGCTGGATTGTTTATGATCCATAGAGTTTTATAGATCCTCTATATATTGAGGCTGGATTGTTTGTGATCCATAGAGTTTTATAGATCCTCTATCAGCGGTTCGAAACTACCAGCCGCTCCGCGGGAGAAAGATGAGGCTTTCTACTCCCGTAAAGATTTACACCCTCGGAAACCCTGTACAGGGTCGCTATGGGTCGGACCCGACTCGATGGCACTTAACAACAACAACAACATATATTGAGGCTGGATTGTTTGTGATCCATAGAGTTTTATAGATCCTCTATATATTGAGGTTGGATTGTTTGTGATCCACAGAGTTTTCTTTTGTTGACTTTTTCAGAAACAGAGCCTTAGGCTTTCTATTGCAGTCTGTCAGCTCTGAAGTCTATTCTAGCAATTTAGCAACATGCAAATTTCCACTGGAAAATGGGTGGTTGGGCAACTCTTGAGGTATCTTAGTTGGGAATCAGACCTCAGTGAAGTCAAGAATTTTACCACTGAGCTACAAGAGCCCCTTAATGTACTTATTATTACATGCTGTTGAGTCAATTCTGGCTCCACTACCCTTTATAGCGTTTCTGAGGAGTGACTGGTACATTTGAACCTCTGTCTTTGTGGTTAGCCATCCGGTGTTTATCCTGGTATTTAAAAGTCCACACCAGGACTTTTAAATTCAAGGTTTCTAAATGGGGTATTCATTTCTATAAAAGAATATCGTTAAAATTATTTATAATTTGATAACTTATCAGATAATTTTAATTAGTACTTAATACATTCACCATTGTACTTTGTAAATTTGGATTCATTCAGAAATGAACCAGTTGTGGAAAATGCATTATATGTATATATCAAATAAAAAATTTAAACTGAGCTTTTTATATGAAAAAGGATTAAATTCATTCTAATAGTAGATAATCTTTTTTTTATAGGAAGAAAACAGACATAACTTGCCGCCTTGTCTGGAGTCACATGGTGAGTTTGGAGATCAAAAATAGATCCAAGAATTTCTGAATTCCAAGTTTCATGCTTCAATATTTGGTGTTACTTAAAGTGACTCATAAAATTGACTGATGTCATATGTCAGTACTTAGGTGACAATTTTCAGAAAGTCAACTCTGCAGCTTGATGGGCGACAACCCTTTCCAACTAAGAAGTAAGTGCTATTACCAGGACTGTTACTAGTATGTGTGGGTTTGTACTGATAACTTTATTTACTTCAGGAGAAAGAGTAGGAGGTGGGCGTAGTTTCTTAGAGACAAAAACACCTGAAGTTATTAAAGTAACAGATGCTCATGTTATAAGTAATAAATGATAAATGAATAAGGTAAATTAAGCTCGTTCCTCTGTATTCTCAGAGGTAATGTGTTATCAGTTTGCCATACAGAATCACTTAATTTTTTCTTTGCACTGATAAGAAATAAGCTTTTCTAAATAGTATCATACTGTGTATGCTACTTGTCTGACAGGTTTCAGCTGAGTTTCCAGATTAAGACAGACTAGGAAGGAGAGGCAGACTATTTCAGACTACTGAAAACCTTAAGAATTTGTTGTTGTTATGTGCCCGTGGAGTCGGTTCCAACTCATAGTGACCCTGTTCAGTGTTTTTGAGGAAAGCAGCGGAATATATGCTACTATGTGACTAAAATTTTAAAAATATTATTTCCTGGATTGTCAGTGCCTTTTTGAAGAAGAATGAATAAGACCATTGAATGCCAACTGGATACTGGTGATAATTAGTGTAGATGGGTCTCCCTAATTAAGAAAAACAATGAGGTATTAGCCTTACTTCACCTAATTCTTAGCTCATATGCTCTATAAGCCAGACTACTATATTGAATATTGTTGTTGTTAAGTGCTGTCAAGTTACCTCCGATTCATAGCAAATCCTGTATAGGGTTTCCAAGGACTGACTGGTTAGCTTGAACTGCCATCCTTGTGGTTCAGAACCAACCTTGAAGTCTAGTGCATTAACCCACAGCGCTACTCCAGGACTCCTACTATATGTAGGAGAAATATGAGGATAAGTCAAAAATTGCTAAAAGTTATACAAGCCTTTATTAAAAATAGCAGAATGTGAAGCTCTTGTTTCTTGAGATTTCCTTCATTTAGCTTTATATGCTTCTGAAGACACTATTTCCACATCTCTAACCAGCTGCTACTTGGAAACCCTATACAGGTGCAGACTCAACTGGCACTTAACAACAACAATAGGAGCCTTTGTGGTCTGTTGTGTTTAGCGTTAGACTACTGGCCTCAAGGTCAGCAGTTTAAGCACACCAGCTGCTCCTTGGGAGAAAGATGAGGCTTTTTGCTCCTGTAAATATTTATCGTCTCAGAAACCCTAGGCAACAGTTCCTCTCTGTCTTACAGGGTCACTATGACTAGAAATTGATTTGATGACAGTGGAATCTTTCACTGAAGAATTCTTCACTCAGATTTATACCACATCAAAACTGCAGTTTGGCATCTTCAAGGGACTCATCATGTTCCTTTGAAATGTTCTTGGAGTTCTGGAAATAGTAAGAGGTCTGAAAGGATGAGATGAGGATTTTAGGGCAGATGGGGTAAAATTTCCCAATGAAATTCTTGTAGGACAGTCCTTATTACTGTTGAAGAATTAGAAGGTGCATTGCTGTGATGGAAACAAAGTTGTTTGACACAACTTCCCACCTTTTTCTCATCAATGGTTTTCAATTTTCTTAAAGCTTCTTTCTAATAACAAGCATCTGTGATCATCCTGTGTCCTTTGAGAAAAATCTATCAAGAGTGCCTACTCTTTTAACAAAACAAAAACCTATTTCCATCAAGATGGTTCTGATAGTGACTCTCTATGGCAGGGCTGGGGAATGTCTGGCCCATGGGCCATATAAAGCCCAAGAAATCATTTAGTCACATTAGTTAACTATATGACTATAGCAGGCTGATTGTAAGTTGATAATTTTGTATGGCCTGCGAGTGATGCTATAAATTTTGGCAGACGAAGTGGTTTCCCATCTCTACTCTATGGGTTTTCCAAGACTATAAATCTTCACAGGAGCAGACAGCTTCATTTTTCTTCACATGGAGCAATTTGTGGGTTTAAGCTGCTGACTTTGCAGTTAGAAGAGTACCCTTAGAAATAAAAAAAAGAATCTATAAAGGAGCTCTGGTAGCGTAGTGGCTACAAATCGAGCTGCTAATCTCAGGGTTGGTTCGAAAATACCAGCTTTTCCATGGGAGAAAGATGAGGCTTTCTGCTCCTGTAAAGATTTTCAACCTTGGAAACCCTGTACAGGGTTGCTATGAGTAGGAACCAACTCCACGGCACATAACCACCACCACCACCATAACCTTCTGAGCTAGCCTCTGCTTTGCATTTCACTGGTTTAGCAGATGCCTTCAGAATCTATTTTGATTGTTTTTTTGTTTTGTTTTGAAGTTGTTTTTTGTGTTGAAGTTGTGCTGCGACTAAAAGTGTGTTACTGAGAGAACATATCTGTGGCCATCCACTGATTGCAGAGACATATTTAAACACCTTTTGTTTGAAATAAATCTGTGCATGTATGAATTGGAAGCTTAGTAGCAATGTTTTTTTACTTACTCTCTTAAGGATCCTTATTTGTTTATAGCTCTAAAGAATTTTAATTTGGGTTGGCATATGTTTTCGTTTTCTGGTTGTACTTTAACACACAAATGTATTTGCTCACAGTTTAGGAGGCTAGAAATCTGAATTCAGAGTGCTGGCCCTAGGAGGATGCTGGCTCTTGGAGAACATGTTCTCTCTTTGTCGGCTCTGGAGGAGGTTCTTTGTCTCTTCAGTGTCTCCTTCCCGATACCTTAGAGGTCTCCATGTGTCTTGGCATTAATCTTCTCATGGGTCTAGGATGTTCTTAGTGCAGTGATCCTGGGTCCATCCAAAGGACACACTCTACTCCTGACTCTTATTTCTTGGTTGTTGTAAGGTCCTTTCCTCCTCTGCTCACTTCTCTGCCCTTTTATCTGTCGTAAGATAAAAGGTGTAACTCAAATAAGGACATAACTTGAGTAAGGGAGTAACTAGAGTGATACCCATTGGAAGGCTGTGACTCAAGATACATCCCACACTAATCTTGCCCCATTGACATGAAGAGGTAGAATTTACACTAGGCCACAAAATGGAGGTTAGGTATATCGTCACAAAATGGAAGACAACCACACACTATTGGGAATCATGGCTTAATCACGTTGTCACGTGTGTTTTTTTGGCAGGGGGAGATGGGACACAATTCAGTCCAAGACAACATAAAATTTAAGATACATGAAGAAATAGCTTCTTGATATCATATATATTAAATCATGAATTGCATGGCATAAACTATCAATTCATTTTGAAGTTTTAAGAAAAGTAAAGTCTAATGGTTTGTTGAGGAGTTATGTTTTAACCAAAAGTTGGTAGGGACAGGGACTACCATATTTCCTACCTTTTACTGTTTATTCTTCATATATCTCTCTTTTGCTAATTTTTTTTCCATCACTGTTAATAATTAGGAACAGTCATTATTGTAAATATAATTATTCCAGCCATATGATTGAAATTCACTTTGATTGATTTGGCTATTCTCAGTTTTGTGTATTATAATCACATTCATTATCTACCGGTCAGTCAGACTCTGTCTAAATTTTATGAGCTTAGTTCTTAGAGAGTGACTGAATTTCTTACTGTTGCTACCAGGTGTTGACTAAAAATATCCTCTTAGAAATTGTTGTTATGATTGTTATAATACATTGTAAATTTCATGTTATATACTGCAAAAAAAAAAACAAAAAACTTTTTTTTTAAATTTTTGAGAATAAGATGTGGTTTTTTTCCTTTTGAAAATTAGATAATTCAAAAATGGCAGAACTGTTTATGGAATGTGAAGAAGAAGAGCTGGAACCATGGCAAAAGAAAGTAAAAGAAGTTGAGGATGATGACGATGACGAACCCATTTTTGTTGGAGAGATTTCAAGCTCAAAACCAGCCATTTCAAGTAAGCCTTTTCTTTCGGCAAAGCCAGATTTTATTAAGTTTTGTTTCTAATGGAAAATCTTACATGTTCTTACTCCTGTGTAAGGATTTGGAGATGAGAGATTGGGTAGGGGATCAGTAGGAACTTGAGAGTTAGAGTAGGGATGAGGATGGGGACTTAAAGGAATTGACAGGTTAAAATATTAGATATGAGAGAAAAGAAGTAGGTTAACAATTAATTACATGGTAGCATTGGAAGCCTTCTGAGAGTGGAAAATCATTTATTTTGTGTGTGTGTGTAGCACAGTAATCTATTTATTTGTTCAATTTGATTTTTTTCTCTGATAAGTCAGAAGTAGAGAAAGGGAAAGGTATGAAATGCTTTGACTAAATCTGAGAATATGAGATGGAATTTCAGACAGCTCTGTTACATTTTAATCCATTTTTCCATGAACTTTTTGAAACCCCTGGTATTAAAGAAGTTTGTGTTAGTCTGTAATGTAGACTCTCACCTCCCAGTAGCAATGTCATCACATTGTCCTTACAGTGTCATCTTGATAATGACCACAGAATGCATAGCCTGTGTATCATTACACATTTGCTGCTGTGTATACCAACAAGGACTGCAGCTTTTGGTTAAACCTATCTTCTAGCAACTTATATTACTAGGAAAAGTCTACAGCTACTCTATTTGCATGATAATAGTGGTCATTCAACTAATATAACTCATGATTTGAAAAGTTCTTATAGCTTTCTAGCTTATAGCTTTCTAGCATAGTCTTGGTACTGATGTGGATTATTAGTTACAGTAGTTAGATTTAACATTGTTATAGTTTTTAAATGAAGATATTTATTAAATTGCCCCTAAATATATATCGTGTGGCACTGTGGGCTAATGTGTCAGGCTGCGAAGTCGTTTGAACTGCAAGGTCAGTGGTTCAAGCTCACCAGCTGCTCTTTGGAAACCTTTTAGAGGGTCATTATGGGTTGGAATTGACTCAACGGCACTTAACAACAATAACAACAAATATATAAAAAATAGAGAAAAATGTAGTAAATTTGTAGTAAAATTGATTATATCTTTGGAGAAAGATGGTAGAAAAGCTCCATATCATCAGCCAAAACAAAGCTAGGGTCAGACTTCGAAACAGACCATCAATTACTCATATGCAAATTCAGGCTGAAGCTGAAGAAAATGAAAACAAGTCCACGAGTCAAAATATGACCTTGACTATATCCCACCTGAATTTTGAGATCATATGAAGAAAGATATGATGCATAAGACATTAAAGACCAAAGACCAGAAGAGTTGTGGGATGACATCAAGAACCTCATATAGGAAGAAAGCAAAAGATCATTAAGAAGATAAGAAAGAAGGAAAAGACCAAAATGGATGTCAGAAGAGTCTCTGAAATTTGCTTTCCAGCATAGAGAGATACTAAAGCAAATGAAAGAAGTGAAGTATAGGAACTGAATAGAAAATGACAAAATCAGATATTAGAAAGAAATGCACAAAGACGTGTAGTTAGAAAATCAAAAGGGAAGAATATGCTCAGCATTTCTCAAGCTGAGGGAACTGAAGAAAAAATTCAATCCTCAACTTGTGGTATTAAAGAATTCTATGCGCAAAATATGAGACGGGGCTTCAAAAGAGTTCTATTACATTTTAATCCATTTTCCATGAAGTTTTTGAAACTCCTGGTATTACAGAAGTTTTTGTTAGTCTCTAATATGGGCACTCACCTCCCAGTAGCAGTCTCATCACAGTGTCATCTAGATCATGACCAAAGACAAATAGTCAGTGCTCAACCATTTCAAGAGGTAGCATATAATCAAGAGCCAATGCTGCTGAAGGAAGAAGTCCAAGGTGCACTGAAGGCATTGGCCAAGAACAAGGCACCAGGAATTGATGGAATACAAATTGAAAATTATCAACAAACTGATGTGGCACTGGAGGCACTCATTCATCTATGTCAAGAAACGTGGCCAACTAACTAGAAGAGATCCAAATTTTTGCCCATTCCAAAGAGAGGTGACCCAACAGAATGGGAAAAATCATCAGACAATATCATTGATATCCCATGTGAGTAAAGTTTTACTAAAGGTAATCCAAAAACGGCTGCAGCCATACATTGACAGAGAAATTCCAGAGGTTCAAGACAGATTCAGAAGAGGACGTGGAACGAGGAATACCATTTCTGATGTCAGATGGATCTGACTTACCTGTGCTTTATTGACTACACAAAGACTTTTGATTGTGTGGATCTTGGCAAGCTATAGACAGTATTGGTGGTGGTGGTGTGCTGTGGAGTCGGTTCCAACTCATAGTGACCCGTACAGGGTTTCCGAGGCTGTAAGTCTTTAGGGGATCAGAACTACTTACCTTTCTCCTGTGGAACAGCTGGTAGTTTTGAACTGCTGACCTCGAGGTTAGCAGCCCAATTCGTAACCACTACGCTACCAGAGCTCTTATAGAAACATTACGGCATACTTAATCGTGCTCATGAGGAACCTATACACAAAGAAGCAGCTGTTGTGAAGTTCCCTCGAGTCTGTTCTGACCCACAGTGACTCTATATAGGGTTTCCGTGGAGCAACTGGTGAGCTTGAACCGCTAACCTTACTGTTCAAACCAGTTTTACAGTCCAACACATTAATCCACAGTGCACACCAGGACTTCAGTGTAACAGTGAATGGTTGAAAATTAGGAAATGTGTTTGCCAGAATTGCATTCTTTCACCATATTTATTCAGTATGTATGTTGAGTAAATAATTTGAGAAGCTGGGGTACATGAAGAAAAACATGGCATCAGGGTTGAAAACAGACTCCACAACAACCTGCAATATGTAAATGATGCAACCTTGCTTGCTAAAACCAAAGAGAACTTAACATACTGATGAAGATGAAGACAACAGCCTTCAGTATGGATTGTATCTCAGTGAACAGAAAACAAAAATCCTAACCACTGGGCCAATAAATAACGTCAAGGTAAATGGACAAAAGATTGAAGTTGTCAAAGTCTTAATTTTGTTTGAATCAACCACCAACGATCATGGAAGCAGCATTCAAGAAATGAAAGATACCTTTTCTGAGACGAATCAGATGCACAAGACCTCTTTAAAGTGTTCAAGAGCAAAGATGGCTGTTTGAGGACTAAACTGAGTTTCACTCAAGCAATAGTATTTTCGTTAACCTCATATGCATGAGAAATTTGGACAGTGAATAAAGAAGACTGTAGAAGAATTGATGCAGTTGAATTATGGTGTTGGAGGAGAATATTAAAAGTACCACGGACTGTCAAAAGAACAAACAATTCTGTATTGGAGTAAGTACAGCCAGACTGCTTCTTAGAAGTTACTATGGCCAGACTTCGTCTCTCATTCTTAGACATTATCAGAATGGACTAGTCCCTGGAGAAGATATCATACTTGGTAAAGTGGAGGGTCATCAAATAAGAGGAAAACCCCCAATTGGATGGATTTACACAGTGACAGCAGCATTGGGCTCAAGCATAGCAACAATTGTGAGATCGGCTCAGTACAAGGCAGTGTTTCATTCTGTTATGTATAGGGTCACTATGAGCAGTACCAACTTGATGACACCTAACAACAGTAGTGTCTTATAAATTTATATATAATAAAATAAATTTGGTAAGAAACAGTGATTTTTTCTGTCTCATTGCATTTATACTACCACCAGCATCAATTGGGTATTCCATACAATATTTATTAAAATCCATCAAACCTAAAATTTAAAACAAAAACCTTAATGATTCAGTAGGCATTCTTTTATCAAAGACACATTAGATTTACAAAGTGTTCCATAGAAGAAATAATTTTGTAATAAGGTTTAATGATTTTATTGTATATGTAAGTTGTAAAATATTTAAATATGAGTTTTAAAGTATTTAGCATATAATTAAATGTTTATATTGATCTGCCATGGGTGCCGATTGTTATTTTTGTTGTTAAGTGCTGTCAATTGTGTTCCAACCCTATATAGGGTTCTGAGGAGCCGCTGGTGGGTTTGAACTTTTTGGTTCATAGTCCATTGCCAATTCTACAACACAACACCAGGGGTCCCCCTTGTTAGACTGTTGCTATTAAGTACCACTGAGTTGGTTCTGATTTCATAGCGTCCTTGAATAGGGTTTCCAAGGAGCGACTGGTGAGTTTGAACCACCTACTCGTGGTTCAAACCAACCTTGAGGTCCAGTGCTCTGTCCCTCAGTGCCATACCAGGACTCAGGCAAAAATATACTGTGGGAGGAGCTCTTTGATGATTTGAGTAAATATTTAATCTTCAGTTTCTGAGAGAAAAAATGGTCTAATTTTTTGAGCAGTTATTTCTCCTAGAAAACTTCTGATTGGATTGCCATTATGAAAAAATACCCTACTTTATGTGCCCCTATATAGAAGTGTTTAATGGGTTTTATTGGAGTCCAATGGAGTCCTTGTATGGTGCTATGGGTTAATGCACTGGACTGCAAAGTTGGTTTAAACCACTAGGTTGACAGTTCTAATTCATTAGCTGCTCTTTTGAAACCCTATACAGGGTCGCTATAGGTTGGAATTGAGTTGACAGCACTAAACAACAACAATTGGAGTCTAGGAATCCTGCTGTGACACTGCACATTAGTGCGCTGGACTGCAGAGTTGGTTTGAACTGTAAGATCGGTGGTTCAAGCTCACTAGCCACTCCTCAGAAACCCTTTACAGGGTTGCTATCAGTCAGAACCAACTGGATAGCACTTAACAACATTAGAGTCCTGGTTTGTGTTGAGCATTACTGTACTGGACTGCAAGGTTGATTCACCACAAGGTCTGAGGTTCAGGTTCACCAGCTGCTCATCAGAAACCCTGTACAGAGTTGCTGATTTGGCACTTAACAGCAAAAACAACAACATGGATTGAATTGTATCCCCTCAAAATATGTGGTACAATTTTAAATCTATGTTTAATAAGGTTCCAGATGGGTTTTATTTCCACTCGAAATGTATAGTTTTGTTACGTTAATGATACGTGATTAGTGTAGTGTGTGTTTTGAGTAGCTCTCTTGATATAAGCAAGCTAAAGTAGCAGAGATGGTGGAATACAGATGTCAATCTACCAGGAAATCTCCAGTGAACCAGAAGAGAGGGACCTTCCCCAGAGCTGACAGAAAAAGCCTTCCTCTTCCTCTAGAGCCAGTGTCCTGATTTTGGACTATAACTTTCTAAATTGTGAGATAATTAATTTCTGTTTGTAGCAGCGCTAGGTAACTGAGACAATGGCATGTGGTTATTCTCTGAGGAGTCTCTGGGTGCTTTGACAGTTTTGTGCTTGACTGTTAACAGAAAGGTAAGAATCCACCCAATGGCATTCCAGAAGAAAGACCTGGCAGCTTACTTCAGAATGATCATAGTTGTGGTGGTGGTGTGCTGTGGAGTCGGTTCCTACTGATAGTGACCCTATATAGGGTTTCTGAAGCTGTAAATCTATACAGAACCAGAAAGCCTCATCTTTCTTCTGCAGAACAGCTGGTGACTTTGAGATTAGCAACCCGACTTGAACTACCAGAGCTCCTTCTGATATGATAGCCATTGAAAATCCCACCGATTGCAGTTCTATTCTGATACACTTGGGATTACTATGAGTTGTATTTGACTTAACAGCAAGTGTTTTTATTCTTTTCTACTAGTAGTAAAAAAAAGGAAATTTTTACAAAGTGTTTTCTTTGTGCTTTGTACCTTTTCCTGACCAGCAATCTTGGACAAATAGTCACTCTTTCAAATTTCAATTTAATTACTAAATAATATAGAAATTACAGAGTTTGCATTAATACAAGAGTAAAGAACCTTAAACTGATCCAAAGTTATAACAGTCTCAGATTGATTTCTGGTATAGTTATACATTTGAAATCCCTTAAATCCTCATGTGGGAGTCCTGGTGTGGTGCTGTAGGATAAACACAGAACTGCTAACCACATGGTGGGCAGTTAAAATACCAACTGCTCTTTGGAAACTGTATACAGGGTCATGTGGGTCAAAACTGACTTAATGACATGTCACAAGTCCTAGTGTGGTATTATAGAATAAGCACTGAACTGCTAACCATAAGATGGGCAGTTCAAACCCACTAGCTTCTTCATGGAAACTATACAGGGTTGTTAGGAGTTGGAACCAACTCAACAGCACTTAACGAGAACAAGCTATCAGAGACTGTAGTAAACTCTTGGTTCAATTTAGTCTTTATTCACCGAAAGTTTCCCTTTCAGAACTCAGGAGTAATTTTGTAAATAGTCCAATCAGAGCCACCACAATGAAACTTCAGGCTTTTAGGGACATGAGTGGAATATGGAGGTTGGGGAAAGTTTTGATTTTGAGTTTTCAGAAAACTGAGAATATGTGCAGTCTTGTCATTATTCAAGAAAAGAAATATTCTTCAATTTTAGGTTGTATGTGAATATGATTTTAGAAATTTACTGTGTGAACTATTTCTTTGCCATGTAGATGATTTTGACTTTTATATTGTAAGCTTTTTAACTGCAACTCAAAAGCCAAGAGTCATCCATTTTTTACTCTTGGCATTTGAGTTGCAGTTAAAAAGTTTGACCTTATTCTGTAAAAAACAGTTAAGGCTAGTAATGATTCTTTTGTTTCTGTGAGTGTTTGTGTTTATTATGTATGTAGAATTAGCTGTATTCTTAAATCAGTGATAATTTCTACTCCTTCAGGAATCTGTAATCATTTCCAGTTCATGGGTTCTATTAATATTATTTCATTCTGACAAATGAATTTAAGAATATATGTATATATTTTTTTCGTAGATATTTTGAATAGAGTTAACCCCAGCTCATACTCAAGAGGAATAAAGAATGGTGCACTTAGTCGAGGTACAGTATTTTTGTACATTTTTAATTTTAAAGTGACGTATTTTTATATAATTGATCTATAGAAATATATTTAACATGTTGTATACTTTAAAATTATAGGTATTACTGCTGCATTCAAGCCTACAAGTCAACACTACACGAACCCAACATCAAATCCAGGGGCTGCCTCATCAGTAAATTTTCATCCTGAATCTAGATCTTCAGCTAGTTCTATTGTTGTGCAGCCTTTGTCTAAACCTGTAAGTGTTTCTAAATTATACAGTCAGGCTCAGCGATATGTTGTTATTTATCAATGACCATTATCACTAAAGTTCTTGACTCTTAACTAGCCATGATTCAATAGAAGTATGTTTAGTCAGTGTCAGAAAATATCATTTTTAACTAGTACTCAAAGTAGTAATTGTAGGAATAATTCAACCTGTTAGTCAGATAATATACTTAAATTAAATAGGTATTGAATTAAAAATTATTACATCCAAATATCAATAAGCATAGTCAGTAATGAAAATTGCATAATGGCAAATTTCTTAAGATTGTAAACTGGGGCAGGTGCTCTTAATTGGGAAATTGTTAAAGGCCATTGTTACTTTTTATTTAGAAAACATACTTTTATAGTTTGGTTAGTTTTTAAAACTCTTAACAGAAATAATTGTTAAGTGATGTCAAGTCATTCCGACTCATCACAAATTTGTGTAGGGTTTCTGAGGAGCCGCTAGTAGATTTGAACTGCCAACCTTGTGCTTAGCAGTCCAGAGCTTACCCTACAGTGCTATACCAGGACTCCAACAGAAGTAGTAGACAATGATAATTGTTAACATTTATTAAGCTATTAAAATACGTGAGTCTTTTTGTTAGTGGTATACATTAATATCTTCATTTTTGCAATATTCCTGTAAAGTAAGGACCATTTTATGCCTATTTTACATTTGCAGAAAGTGAGGCTCACAGAGGTTAAGTGATTCACCCAAAGTCTTATAGTTGGATCTGGGATGATGGATCTGGGATTTCAATCCAACATAATATACATTTTGTTTGTATGTGTTTGTGTTGTTGATGTTAAGTGCTGTTGAGTCAACTCTGACTCATAGCGCTCCTGTATAGTGTTTCTGAGGAATGGCTGGTGAGTTTGAACCACCGACCTTGCAGTTCAAACCGACCTTGCAGTCCAGTGCATTAACCCACAGTACCATACCAGGATGCCATGTGTTTATAAGGGAACTTTAAAAAGGTCATGGCAAAATGGAATGAAAAGATAATGCATACATGCATACTTAATGTATTTAAACATGATGTTAAGTAAGGTTGCACAATACCATTCCTCTGTTACTGCACATACAAGTTTTTGTATTTTCGCTGTCATGATTAATTCTTGGTTAAATAGTTTTAATTTAATTACTTTACCATATATTCTTGCAAGTAGAATAACTGGATCAAAAGATGTGCATTCCTTAAAGCCTTTGATAGATACTGTCAGAATTTTCTTACAGAAAAGTTCTACCAAAATACAACAACTGTGAATATAGTCATTACATTTTTTTTTTTTTATGTGAATTATGTGATAGTTTACATGGGAGAACATTAGTTTTACATTCATCTTATTATATATTGTTTCATTGCCATGGTTACAATCCCCTCCACGCATCACCAATCAACAAAAGGGTGCATCCTATAAGCCTGCTTTCCTCTCCCCCACCCCGTCATCACACAGACCGTCTTCCTCCCTGGGTCCTGAGTCCCCAGCTGCACATCTCTACCTCTGTCTCTGGGATTGCTGCCTCTCTGAGTAGGGTTCCTCTCTCTGCTCTTCACCCTCCATGGTTCCAGGGACCTCCACTCCCTGCCTGCAAAGCCAGTCACTCCCCTCCTTGCCACAAAATGCCCACTATTACATTTACAACCTTCACAATCAGTCCTGGTAGCAGTTATTCACCCTTGCATCACAAGATACCTATCTGCATTTCTTTTAATCAGTCCAGCATAGACAGATTGGATACTACTCAGTGGAGATTCTACCTTGCTCCACACTCTCTGGATCTAGGTTCTCTCTTGAAAGCTTGTAAGCCAGTCACTTCTTGCCTTTGTAGCCCCCCCATTTTGGATAGTCAATGTCCAAGTTGCCCATCTCTGTCTACTCTGTAGGGAGGGGGTGGGAATGATCCCTGCTGCAAAGATTTGTTCCCTCTTTTGAACTACTGCATCCATAGGTGTAGGTTAAGTTCATCTAATTGTATCAGGTTACTCTTTTTTTTCTCTCCTCTTATTTCTTCTTCTAGTTGAGCTCTGATCACCCAGTCGTTGAGGCTAGGTCAAATGGTTATTATCTGCATGTGTGGTGCTATTGTGGATATGCCCTCTCGTCTTATCCACTGGACACTTCACCGTCTACTCCAGTCCTCCATGGCTATGTCACTGACTCTGGGCCCAGGTCTTGCCACACTGCTGGCCAACCAGGTCTCCACCTGGGTTTACAGGAGTCTATTGACCATTGTAGGGCTTAGCTCGCAGCCTTATAGCTATTTTTTCCTTACTTCCCCTTGTTGGCTGCGAACGTGGTAACCCATCAGAGCGTGTATTCCCATCGAGTCTTAGTCTTGGAAGGGGGTTTACTCTGAGGGGACCCAACCCCTTGCCTTGATGTCTCCTGAGTGGGCAACTTGCTTGTTCTTGTAGTCATTGGTCGGTCTGTTTTGTGTTTTTCCTGTCAGTCTTTTCAAGCGGTATCTTCTGTTCTTCTAGCTGCTCCAGGCTGGTCTGCCCGTCCTCTCGGGGAAATTTCCCACCTCTGAAGGTACTGGATACTGTGCAGGATTCCACCTATGGTCTTATGTATTGCAGAGGCTCCACAGGCAGCCTCCTTCCTTGGGCACGTTGTAGCCCCATTTTAGGTATTCCAATCAGTTATAGGCAGAAGACGGACTTACA